GTCTGTGATCTGCCTCATAATGCACCTCCTGCCGTGTCACACTCCTTTGAATCAACCTATAAATTTGCCCGGTGAGGAGGTGGCAGGACGGTGCGTTTTCTGGTACCCAGCAGTGCTTGAGCATCTTAATGAGATCAGCTAATCAGCCAAATGATATGCATACATTTGAGGCTGCACACACACACACACACACACACACACACAGGACGTCACAGCCCACCAGACACCCATTCCACACCTCCCATTGTGCTGCAGTCAGACAGCAGGCCTGGGCTGCAGAAGTGGCCACAACAGGCCGACTTCTCCCCCGAGGGCCTGCATGGGTCAGATTTGCAGTGTCCTTGGGGAGAAGGATCTCCAAGCTGCTGCGGGGCTGTAGATGAGGCAGATGCCGGCCACTTCAGCTAATGGGAGGTCGGGAAGGAGGGGGGTTGACGTGACTCCTCTTTGGTTCCCATGCCCCGTGGCACGCTCATGTCACACTCCTGCAAGTAATACAGATGACAACAGCACAGAGGGTTCACTGTCCATCTGCTCCCCAACACAAAGACTCGGGCATCCTCCTCCTCGCACAGATCAGCAGATACTGTAGGTGGCTGCAGTGCACATTCATAATGAGCGTTTCTGTCTCACACAACAGAAGATGATGTATGGCTCAGATGTGTGACATGAAGGTTGTGTGATGGCGATGTGATGCTCAGGAACAGGTGCTGCTTACAGACACACTCCAAAGATCAGAATATTACAAATAATCTGTAAAGCAAAGACTAGAAAATAAATAAAGCAAATCAAATTAGATGTGATTGGTTAGCAACTGTTAAAGACTTCCCACACCTGTTGTTCATATGATTTATATTCATTCTGGTAGAAGACATATTGTGATGTTTTTAGGAGTGAAATGACAGCTCTGTCTTTTTTCTCATCCATTCATGTTTTTTCTTGTGTGAAAAAATACAAATTACCTCTTATTATTATTATTGTTCTTCTTATTATTATTTAGGGTTTTTTTGGGGGAAAACATCAGTCATGGTGCGTAGACTGAGAGCCACCATAAAGTAATCCATGACTAAGTCAGTAAAGTACATTTAAAGACCTCTTTG